TCCTAACATACTAGTCATCCTTTAAAGATGTGAAATTGTGCCAAAAAAACTACTTGCTTTTTACCTTATTTTTATGTGCATTAACAAATTTCATAAATGATGCTAACCAATTATTTTTGATGATTGATCGGTGGTAATGAACCAATCATCAATTATGAGATTTGAACCAATTCCCAACACTACTGTGTGATGATGACTTTCAAGTCCCAGTACTATTTGAATAATAGTTTTCCTCACTAAAAGTAACCATGTTCATCATCTTATGGGTCCCGATCCAGAATGTAACATTACGACTTGTTGCAACTATAATTTATCTTAGACTTACAAATGTCGAGCGCTACGAACACTTTGTGGATCAGGATCACGGCTACAGAACTGATGAAAGTGCGAAGAGAAAATTCTAACCACTTCTTCTTTGGATTTTCTACAGTAAACAGCAGGGATGCCACGATACATCGATACACCGATGCATCGATACTTTTTCTAAGACGATACAATTATCGATACATTAAAAACTGTATCGATATTTAGTTTTGAAAGTTTCGGTTGAAATATGTTTATGTATCGTTTACATTTTGCAATTGTATCATGTTTTTTTATGCTATGAGTTATAAATGATTATTTTTCATGCACAAAGATGGGAAATTAGAACTTTTTAATCTCAGAATAAAAAATGTTGATCTTTTCATGGACAATTATAAAATATGAAATATTAATGTTGAAAATGTACTAAATTTACACAATAATGTCATGAAAATAGCTACCGTGATACGTATCGAATCGTGACATGGGTATCATGATACGTATTGATTCATGGAACTCATGTATCGTGACATCCCTAGTAAACAAAAGGCAGGTCACCATGTAAACATGTTTGCCCAACAATGTTGCCCATTGTGCAATCATTGCCTGGGTCAGTGAGGCGCCAGCACTGCATACCCAGGGAACCAGTTGGTTCAGTTTTTTTCTCTTATTATGAGAGGATTTGGGTGATACCAGCATTGTCAGGCTGACATTGCAGACAGCGAATATGACTTCTCCCAATCAGTGTTGCCTAGTCGAACCTTTCAGAGGAGACTTCAGAATTCCGCATTACCAAGAGTGTCAGAAGGGCAGTGTTCCTGGCAGCAAACCCAGGAACTCTCCCAATGTCAGTAGAGACATTGAGGTACCAATAACAGTGGGGAGTTGGACAACTTGGTACCAGGGATGCAAACGTGACATCTTGTAAGCGAGACCTGCATATTTGTTATGTTTTTCTCGAATCTTATCACTCACATTAGAGTGAAAAGGGAGCAGAAAAATCAACGGTATGAATAACTTTCTTAGTTTGACGGAAAATGACAAAGTCAGATTTGTTGACCTGAATTCAACTGTGGCTGAATACGGGCCAATTCCAAAATATTTTTATATATAGGTCCGTCTCCTATTCTCGCGGTAAACACGTTTTCTGCCGAAATTGCCGATGCGCGTCACTTAGCGGTTGTTTACATCACCGACTGGTAACTAGGAAGTGGACCAAGTCTGTGAGTGATCAAAATCTTGCAGTGTCACGAATATTGGGGAGTTTATACCAACTTGGACATATCATTACTTTTTCCCGCCCTTTCTGGCAGGATTGCTCTTACATACACTCAATAACGTTAATTCCTGGTAATACCGCGAGAATGGGAGAAGCCTCGTTTCGTCAATAGCGGATGGCATTGTTTATCACTGGGCTCACGAGTGGTAATTCACCTGATGGATCTGGCAGCTGATAGATGTAGATGTTAGAGGAGAAGGCCCTTCATTTAAAAACAACAAGCATGAATACGATAAGAATTGTTTGTGTTACTTTTTCAGCCGATATCCGTAAGTACCGCGAGAATAGGAAAGGCCTTCTTAAAGGTCACATAAACCCTAGGGGGTAAAAATACATAAATTACTAACTGGCATCGTTATAAATGAAACCCCGTCATTAAAACTACTCATTTCGACCTTTTATTGACTTAAATCGACCTTTTTGACAACAGTGCACAATTCTCACCCGCGAACGAAATTTCAACCAATCAGAGCGGCGCGACTCTGTGACGTCATATGAGGAATAGCTTTGAGGGCCGATGCAGAATTCATCTACATTTTAGGGGGTAAATTATCTTGTTTACAGGCTTGTATAAACCTGAAATCGTGACAATTGTTGTGGAAAATGAAAGCTATATGTTCTCACAATCTACTGTCATTTAATTTTGTCCCCTGCTTTGCCTAGTTTCGAGTTACAACTTGTTTTCATAGACGATTCTGTCACAATTGATTGGTGTCGTTAGGCCCTATTTGTATAATGACTGATCCAAATTGATCCCATTTCTGTGTTTTTTTTACCTCGATATTTAATCATGTCATGTAAAAATCTGTTTGTATTCTCAAAACAGTGTCGGCCCATAAGTTTTCACATGCAATACAGCAATTAATACTCCCTTGTTGTAACCCGTGTTAGGTGGTATAAACCTACACATGTTATTTGTCATCATTCACTTGATGGTCAGTTAATGAATTTATAACAGGTATAATTAGTGGTAACACACTTTGATTACCCGACAAAGGTTCCCATTTGGCATTTCTTGTGTCTGGAGTAAATATTCAACATTATAAACATCAATCAAAGGATTAACCGATAACACGCTGATTGATTAATTACTTTTATCTTACACAGCGGAATTGTCAAAAGGTAGTGTTTATGTATGTAGATTTACTAATCTATACTGAATACACTCTGCGCGGTCGGGTGTCTGCGTGAAAACAACGCCCTTCTTTCAAAGGATTAACCGGCAATACATTGATTGATTGCCCATTATTGGCTAACTAAATTACTGTTTTTAATGAAAGGGACATTATGCAATTAGTTGCCAGGTGTGCTATCTTGGGTGACCAATGAGACTATACACCAATACCTGAAAAGATTTATCACTTTTTCGTATATTAAACTGTTAAAAGACACATCATTTGGAACAGTTTTGTGGATATTGATGGATACATTCCTCAAACAAGGTAATGGCCTGATATTGTTCCTATAACTTTAATCTGTTTTAATTTTAATATTTGCATTTTGTTTTTATTCATTTGTCGTAGCATTCAACAGAATCATTGTTTTCGCCGTGAAGTGTGATGAGACAGACAACATACACTAGGGTGTGTGTGCGAATTATGATTTACATTGGCAAACTATAAAATGTCTAGATATTACAGTTCTGTTATAAATTCACTATAAGTATCAGCAGATCGTCAGCTTTTATTTAGTTTCAAAATGCATAAAAGTATGATAATAAACTAATTAGGATTATAAGACCAAATATAAAGACGCACATTGACTAGTACCTACATACTGTTGAGTGGACATTAACCATGTGAATGTAGCAAGAAATTTATCGGGAAGTATTGTGACTTCGACCCCCCCACCTCGCTTCCGTGGAAGAAATCGTTATGTTATAAGCTGTGTCATGCAAAATCCTTTTGGTTATGATTCCAATACATATTTAACATTTGAGTAGAAAGTAGTTTTGATTTTCTAACTTGATGAAAACAAACTATAATCTCATTAATTCTAACAGACTTTTACGATTTTCAAAATGGCGGCGCCCTATCGGGAACATCCGCCAGTCTGTGGATAAATGCTATTTAGGTTTTGTTTTCACCGAAGTTATAAAATCAAAACTACTTTCTACTGGTAGTAAAATATGTATTTTATTGATGGCCAATAGGATTTTGCATGACATAGCATATAACATAACAATTTCTCTCCTGGCAGCGAGGTGGGTGTCAATATAATACTACTTACAATATTATTGTTACTCGACCACAACCTCACTTCGAGGAAGAAATCGTTATGTTACAAGTTGTGTTATGGAAAATCTTTATGGTCATCAATCATATACATATTTTACTACAACTAGTAAGTAGTTTTGATTCTTTAACTTCCGTGAAGCGATCTGAACACAAGTAAGATATCGTTTCAGGCTTCCACAACGCCGCGCAAGACTCACAAACATAACCCATTTAGCACTAACTGCGGGTCCTATGGAAATCTGTGCATGGTGACACCATCACCCGACCCCTAGGAGCAATGGACGACAAAGCAACGATTCGGCATGTCGTCGTTCATGTCGAGAAATCATCAAAATGATGAGCGTGCTACACACTTTCTATACAACTAACTGAAAATCGTTCCTCATATGACGCCACTGCAGTGCTCTGGCGACAGAGTTACGTAACCTGTCTGCGGTTTCGTTGGCGGGCGAGAGGGAAGCAGGCGACTTTTTGGCCACTTTTAATCGCTCGGTATTAATTAACCACAAGTTTTTAAAGAATAAATTTGGTGTTCCGCATAAGACTAACCACAAATCTTTCATATGTAATGGTTAAAAGAGTAACAAAAAACAAAGTTTAGTGGTTCTTTAATTATCATTTTCCATGATGCACTGTACATAATGTGGGTCATACCTAGTCTAGCATATAACTAGACGACTTTGCACTATACCAAGGTGTGCTCGACCTTGGCTGGAATACGAGTTTATTCATATGAACTAGGTCATACCATGGATGGACCCCTGAGTCAAAACCACAAGCATGGTTATATATACATTGTATATACTTTGGTTTTATTTCATTTTATTTTAAGGGTATTTTTTCTATATTTAACACGAGGATAAGCGAAAACACAGTTGACAACGTTTGTGCCTAGGCCAGCCAACTACCGAACTGGCAACGAGCCAGTCGTCACAGACACTGCACAAAACTAACTGCATCAAAAACTAAATCAAGCGGATTGTTCCCAGAAGCGTGTTGTCATCGAAAACTGGCGAAACGTCTGATACAGACACAACACATTACGACTGCCAGACCAGAGTGACATTCTATATGAAATGCAGAGCCCGAAATACGCTTTAAAAGTGATGCCTAATATAACAGTCTTCATAATGCAAGTGTTGACACAAAGAGGTATTTGGTTATGGAGAAAATATACCTACTTCCAAATTCCAAATATGCAGAACCACTACACCGACTTTACTGGTTTGACAGCCCCACAGCGCTTGCGCTCCACGCCTCACCGTGCTCCTTGATGGAGTAGGGGAAGCAGGATACCAGTTCTACAGCAAGACAGGCAGAACTAGTTATTGTGGACGTCTGCGGAGCGACTATTTTCAGATACACTAGACAGGCACCTCAGGCCGCATAGGGAGTTTACAAATAAGTTGGGTTTTTTTTATCGTTACTCATTAATGGTCAGACTGTATGGCGTCGGTCAAGAATGAAATACTCTGGACCAGATAATCCAGTGTATCTACCTGCTCAAAAGGGATACAGTAACATGTACTGTCAACAAAGTCAGCGACTCTGATCACCCTGTCCCGCAGTCACCACAAGTATAAGGTTTCTCATATGGTGAACACCCATACAACTATTCAGCGTCCGGAAGCGTCCGGAAACGTCCCCGAGTGCCCGGAAACGCCCGGAAGGTCTTACCAGACTTTCGGGAGTTTAAACAATACACTTTGAACAGTTAAGGCTGTTTTTTCTCAGTTTGGTATGGTCACGACAGATCTCGTTAATGGTGCGTAAATTTATGTAACAGGGTACAGATCTATGTACCAACAGTGACAGTGTTCCTTTATATTCTGGAAAGAATAATTATCATAGATCAGTTTTTACTAAATAGATTTGCCCATTAAACTTTTACCCTGGTAACATTTGTTCCGAATGGAACTTTGGAACTGATCATAGTTGACAATATTAAACAACGGAACGACACACCGCCGAAGTCACGGGACACGACCAGAGGATCCATTTTGTCACCTGCTATGACCAGAATAGGTTGGTAGGGACAAACTCGGACCTGCAGCGTGTTCCCAGTTTCGTCACTTCTTACAACGAGCGTTGTAAACGGGAGACGGTGATTTCGTAGGCTGAACCAGTTCGTAGACGCGGTGGATTTGTAGCCCAGACTGGTTCGTAGACGGTGATTTCGTAGACGTGCATAAATAATTGAATCATAGTATTTTGTAAACATATTAAGTATGATAATCACTTGGATTCTGTATAACGAAGTTGTTATGCTTTGTGCCCTTTCGTCATCTGGGGCCAAGCCGTGGATGCATCCAGGGTATAGTAGAGAGTGATCGTAACGTATACCCTGAAGATTATCGAGGATGAGGCGATGCTGCCACTTATCGCAGCTGTCGCACTGGATGGCATGATGTCTAGGACGCACTTCTTTCACACATGTAACGCATAGAGCCATGGCTGATGCTGAATGACTTCTTTTATCTTTCTTGAGGTTTATATACCATAAGTGTTTGTACAGGTAAACTTTGTCGGCGGATCAGACAAAATTAGTCTACTCATCATAATTTCCCGACAACAAGAAAATAATGAAATTGTTTTCACTGTCGGTTGTGGGTGGATTAACAGGTTTCACTGCTCAATCCGCCACCGGATTTCCACGTCTACGAACCAGTCTGATGTACGAATTCACCTACAGTCTTGGGGACATATTACATCCCCGGTCCCCCAAAAGAGATGGGTCGTTGGGGGTAGCCTAGTTGTTAAAGCATTCACTCATCACGCCGAAGACCCAGGTTCGATTCCCCACATGGGGTACAATGTGTGGAGCCATTTCTGGTGTCCCCTGCCGTGATATATCTGTCATGTTGCTGAGAGCGGCGTAAAACCAAATTCACTCACCCAAAAGAGGTGACGAATAATTTGGTGAAGCAAAGGGTCTATGTAAATATATTAGAGCCGCTTCAATCAGTTTACTACATAGAATAACCCCTTGCTTTAAATACCTTACTATGAATTTGCACAGTCGAAGCAGATCAATTATTTTATGAGGGTTATTGATTTTGAAAATGATGTCAATAACCATGAATGAAGAAGGGTAACCCTTCTAATCTTACATTATTGATAGATATCTGAACTTTTAGGGTATATTCTCAGTTACATACGGATTTGCAGGCCTGTCATTATGAGCCTGCTATGAAAAGGTTTGGTGGGTGAGTATGGTTTTACGCCGCTTTTAGCAATATTCCAGCAGTATCACGGCGGGAGACACCAGAAACGGACTTCACACATTGTACCCATGTGGGGAATCGAACCCGGGTCTTCAGCGTGACGAGCAGACGCTTTAACCATTAGGCTACCACCGCCCCTATGAATGTGAAAAGTAAATATTACGCAAAGGGAAAGATTTCACCATAGAGAATCGTATTTATCAATTAATTAATAGATGTTTATAGTTTAAAGTTTTCACGTTTGTTGTATATATGCTGTAAGGTGAGATTGTTGTATATCTACACCGATTATACTGTAACATCTAGTTGATGTTTGTAAGTGGCAACATTGTAAATTGTTTGGGTTTTTTCGGAAATAACGCAAACCTTTTTGTGCTGACCCGGTGGGATCTGGTGGTACTTTCACTGACTTGGTTGACACATGTCATCGTATATCAGTTGCAGAGATAGATGCTCATGCTCTTGATCACTGGATTGTCTGGTCCAGACTCGATTATTTACAGGCCGCCGCCATACAGCTGGAATATTGCTGTGTGCGGCGTAAAACTGAAGTCACCCACTCACTTTTGTCGCCGGTAGTCAGAACAAACGCCATTTAACTATATACATCCAAATATAAATATGTCGTGCTCACTCCCACACGGTCATAGTTATTATTCACAACATCACGATATTACATTGCAATATACTTAACTCATATACTTAACAAAATAATTACAAGGTGCGTTATTTGTTACAATACATGTAACTATTTTATCTTTTAACCAAAGCATTTACTGGTGACAGCATTCTCTTCCCACAGGGGTTACTTGTCATATCTTCCTAGGAAGATAATGACAAGTAACCTCTGTGGGAAAAGAATGTGGTGACAGAAGCTTAGGACATAAAACAACAACAACATGTATGTCATGCCCAACTGTATGTGAAATTAGTGAAATTATCACGACACACAACGAATGTTTTTCTCAGCGGATGAATATGCCAAAAAGGAGTTAACAGGTTGTACACATTTGGTTCACCTGGCAATGGAATACATGTATCACTACGCGCGATGTCAACTTTGATGCATTTATTTCTTAAAAGGGACACAGTAATGTTAAAATGATAAATATAATTAATCACTCATGTTTTTAAAAGGGGAAATATCAACCTGGACCCGTTAAGCTGTAGTTCGCAAAATTATCTACTCGGCAAATACCTATTAACTATGACTCAGTTGATATAACAAAAGAAACATTCGAGATGAATCCTCTCTATACATGTATATAAGTATCTGCATGCAGGCATAGCGATATAATACACGCACCTATTTATGGCATTGATACACAACAGATACTACCATACATTGTGGGTAACTTCACCAAGTGTTGATGTCTACTTGACATACTTCGTTTGGTGTGGGTTTTTCAGTTTTCGGCGGTGCTCCGTCTTCTAACCGCTTCAACAAACCGCTGTAACAGGCTGTTAACGTGAAATCCATTTGCTTCGTTTTGAAATTAATGCATAAAAAAACTATCAACGTATATTTGTATTTAATTCAATTTTCTAAAGTACGAATGTAGGTTATGTTTTCTATGAAGCGTTGTGATTTGCAAAACTTGAAACAAATTCCGATCGCATGTGCATGACCTTCACCTCTCCGTTTGGTGACTGCATCTTAATGTGTATCATATCATAACACCTTGCTGTAGTATGCTTCCCATCTAACCGACACAGTTACCGACAAGCAGCATAAAGTACGCAGTGTGAGTCACCATTACACTAATTAATTTTATGGTGTTTGCTTTCAAAATACGCAGGAATAATATTACACGTACTGTCACAACATTGTGCATACACAATAGTAAACAAATGCAGCCATTTCAGTTTGTATACCTGTATTTCTAAATTGATATCTTTAAAAATCTTTCTGATGGAACCCATCATCAAATATACACGAAAATATACACGAATCCACCAGAGCAACATTGTGAGAACTGGCTGGTATTGGTTTTACAATGTCCAAGGCTGGGCTCACGGGTGGAGACAATAGTGAATACCCATATAAACCTATAGATACCCAACGTGGATAATAACAGGTGAGTAATACCCAGTGGTACAACATCATGTATAGCCCTGTCACTAGTGGTGGGCATATACTCTGTAACACAATGGTGTCAAGGGTGCTGTACAGAAATGAGTGAGTGAGTGAATATGGTTTTACGCCACTTTTAGCAATATTCCAGCAATATCACGGCGGGGGACACCAGAAATGGGCTTCACACATTGTACCCATGTGGGGAATCGAACCCGGGTCTTCGGCGTGACGAGCGAACGCTTTAACCACTAGGCAACCCCACCGCTCCTGCACAGAAAGAAAACAGACATGTGGATGCAGAACGTGGTCGCCGTGTGAGGAACGTGCTGTCAGCTGGCTGGCATGTCACACTGTACGACCACCCAACACAACAACACGCGGCGTGGTGGCAGGCCGTCGTCGCTGTCGCTGTCGTTGCAAACGAGTATGCATGATACGATCCAAGGTCTCCTTCAACTCTCGTTATTGAGGGTAGGCTGCTTCGGGTCACCCGGTTATTTTATAGTCTCTGATGGGCCTGAAGGAGACTAAGAAACAACACAGTTAGCTTGTTAATTCTGTGTATACACTACCATGATCTGCCCAGCAATTAAACCAATGTATAAGTCGCAGCTTGTCAAGGATACCTCTCTGTCCCAGCAGTCTGCACCATATATAACAAACAACTGTGTATACACTCGGGGGAGTGCGTGCGTGCATGCGTGTGTGTGCATATAAATGCTTGGATTGCAGCCGACGTAAACACACACGTTTGCATGAAAGAGCACTATACTATTCGATCTAGATGTTTGATCTAAAACATTTCCTCAAAACTGTGAGGCGCGTGGCAAGCCAATTTTTTCGTGTAAGCCCGATAGGTTGCAAAGCTTTATATGTAGATAGTATTGAGGGCTTGCGCAGCCTTTTCAGCAACAATCATGTGTAATCCCGGGCTGTTTTATATAATGGTAGCTACGCCCCTGACTGTACGTCTATGATGAAACATATAAAG